ATATTAATAAAATATTCAAAAAATTTATATTTTGTTAATATATATTAAAAACTAAAAAAAATATTTCGTTAATATTTCGTTTAATATAAATATATTTCACTAATATATATTAAAAAATAATAAAAAAAAAGAAAAATGAAATTCATTAATAATAATAATTATTATATATAATTTATTATACTATCAAACATAATACTTTACATAATATTTTATTTATTTAATATATATAAGTATATTAAATATAAATATAAATTTATATTTAAATAAATTAAAATATATTTTTTTAGATATATATTTTTTAAATAAATTAAAATATATTTTTTAATATAAATTTATATTTTGTGAATTATATTTAATACTTATATATATTAAGTAAATAAAATTTATGTAAACTACTATATAGATAATATAATTAATAATAAATTATATATAATCATTATTATTAACAAAATATTTATATATATAAATTAGCGAATATATTTATATTTAATGAAATATTAACAAAGTATTTTTATTTTTTTAATAATTTTTAATATATATTAACGAATTATAAGTTTTAGAATATTTTATTAATATATAGTTTAGGAAATAGAACAAAATATATTTTTTGTGTTTGGATTTTTTTAATTGTTCTATTTTTTTATTTTTAGTACTATTATAATTATTTTTATTTTTTTGCTGATGTGTCTTTATATTTATTTAGATTTGGATTTTTTTTTTTATTTTTATTTATCTATGTGTAGTTGTGTATTTGGAGATAATGATGTCACATCACGCCACGTACATAACACGTAAGAAACTAAAGAAAGTTATAATGTCACGTCACTACCTCATTCAGCCATGCCAGCTTTTTTTTATCCAGGTGGGGTGATTAATATATCTTTTACGATCAAATCGCCAACTACATGTTTCTTTTCCGCGAGGAACCACAAAATATCTATTTTGTTGACAACGCTCAACTCTTGGTGTATCATTTTTGAAATTTTGCCAGCATTCACCATTATCATGTATTCACCATTTGCATATGCACGACTTATATTGTGGGTAATGAATAATTTTAGATTACCTTCCAAATGTTTAGGATTAATTACATCAATAATTAATCTTTATTAAATATTTTTATGGTATCAAATGATTTGGGTGTGCTTGTCCTAAAAAAACTTATATGTCAATATATATGTTAAGTATTATTATTTTTTACGTCTCCAGAATAAATCCTATACCTAAAATTGGATTATTTACCTTTCTTTTGTGATTTCTTAGTTTATTTAAACATATTGAGAATCAATTCAAAATCTACACTATTATTTACTTTTCTCAATGATTATTTACTTTTCTTTTGTGATTCAGAAATATATTCTATTGCTATCTACAATGCATTTAAAAATCAAATTTAATTATGAGAATCATTAATTATCAACTCATATAAAATACTCATTCTATATTAAATTGATAATTAATTATCATGAAAGATTTAATAAACTAAAAAGACAAACATACTAATTATATATTTGTTTCCAAAAATATTGTTGATACCATTTCTAAAAGAAGCATTTACATTTATTATTAGTAACCTCAATTCAATCAACTCCCTCTTTATATATATAGATATAGATAGATAGATTAAATTAGTGTGTATGAACCATCAAATCTCCAACTTCACTCCAAAATCTCATGGAGCGGGTTAAAAGATGAAGGGCCCATTTTTCTTAACAGAACGCAATTTTTTGGAATACCCATATTTTATAAAGGGCCCATAATAACTATTGGGCCTCCGTTGAAAAACCACTCAAAATCATCCAAACCTATATCGCATTACGTAAAACACGACTTCGGAGCATCCCCATCATCTCTCCATTTTTTTCTTATTATTATTATTATTTGCTGCAAATTCCTCTTTTTTCTTCGTCGTATGAATGTTGAGTCTGGATTTAACTATGGTACAATAGCTGACAACTCGAAAACAAAAACCATGAAATAATCAGTACAGCGAATTTTTATGAGAGCTGTGGGGCAGCTGTTTTGAATCTGGGTTTTTGATTTTTTTTTTT